AGATAGATAGATAGATAGATAGATAGATAGATAGATAGATAGATAGATAATTATAACATGGATTGCTGCTCAATTTTGGTCTTAGTAGCTGTTGGCTGACTGTCATGACAGTGTTGAATCATCATTTTCCTTCCAGCTTTATCATCAGCTCAACACATTTCACTTATACTAACATGTTTTCTGGGTACACTGGTGGACATATAAATGCAGATTTTCATCCTGAGGCTCTGAGAAAATTATTTTACCCTTCAATTATTTTCTGCTCGGTTCGGATCATTTGGTGTAATGCTCGCAGCGTAGAATATTTTAGTAAATCTTCAGGGATTTCACATTGTTGAATATGATTTGTCCCCTTAAAGTCCAGCATTTTGTGCCATTCGATTTTTCTTTGTCTCAAATGTAGTTTGCTTTGTTTTTCATAGAACTGATGAACAGCGTTTGGGGCATTTCTCCATTCTTATATGCAAGCTCTGAATGTTGTCCTTTCAGAAAGTAAATCTCAACCATATGTTTTATAGCTTGTTCTTGTGTTCTTGTTTTTGTTAACCCTTTACAAGCTTTGGTTGTAGTGAGCTTTAGGGGAAACAAAGCCCTGTCCAAATGACTCAAAACGTTTTGTTTTACTCAAAGCTTAAGTATGAATCAGTGTGTGTGTATAGATACTAATCCCCACTGGATGGCTGTGACAAGACCACATTTTTTTTTGGTGACATGTCAATTGAGAGAGACATTTGGTTGCTTTTTTCTTTCAAGCTCAACCTTCAGTTATACAAGAAATTCATTTTAGAAACAGAGTCTTGTGAAAAACCTGTTAAAATCAAACACACAATTTCATATTAAATTAAATGATGCTGTATTAATCTGAATTGAATTGAAAGTACTTTAATCATCCAAAAAGGAAATTATACTGTAGAATAATTTTTTTTGGACCTACAGTGGTTATGAAACAACATAATTACCAGCACCGGGCATACTGCGATTGAACAGAAAGGACTTTTTCATCGTATTGAAAGCAGGAACAACTTCCAAGGGATGCAGCTTAAAATTCCTCTTTGGAAAGACATATTCACATCATCCTGTAACATGATCCAGGTCAAGGGAGCAGGATAAAAAATGCCTTTTTGTCAACCTCTGTATGCACAAAGGGAACATTGAAGGTCAGAAAGAACTGTGGCGGAATGTTATGGCAGCTCTGTTTGCGTGACATGTAAGAAGATAAATATGTTGGCAGAAGACCAAGGATGGATTTGTGATGGAAACTGCACCAATGCAGACGTATGCATATGGATAAAGACAAACCAGATAACAAGAGCATAAAGCACAATCACGAGTTAGGGTTTTACAGTTTGTCATTAACCTTAGTGATCCGTGATAAACAGAATCCTATATCTGATAGAGGCATTGGTGTAGCCTACATCTCCATAACCAATGAGAAGTTAAAAAGAGGGTCAGCAAGGTGTTTCTTAGCTCTGAGTGAGAAATTAGATTTAGTTCAAATAGCTTTTTGCTACAGAGAAGTAATACATCATTTTTCAAAATAACAATTAACTATTTGGAAGCAGTGCTCATTAATTTATCATATGAACAAAAAAAACAACAACAGTTTGTGGCCTTTAGAGGAATTGAGGAACCAACTAAAATCTGAAACACACAGCCAGCATTTTGACATGGGGAAATTCAAAGACATATTTTTTTTAATTATTCGTGAAACTGTTTTATCGCAAGCTCATTTAAAAGAACACCCGGCTTGTTTCTGTGTGAGATTTAGAATCAGCTCTGATAAAGGAGTATGATGACAACACAGATAGAAGATTGTTGCAGTAGCTGCTTCTTTTCCGCCAACTGTGTAAAGATAGTTTTTCTTTTAATTTTTCATACCGAGAGGACAGACTGAAACATGACTGAGCATATGGCGCTATTGCACCTGTTCAGCCAAACATGAAGCAGTCCTTTAATTTTGGGCTTCCTGAGCTGCTCCAAGCTGTCCGTGCATCATTCTCAGACAGGCTCCTTATGTTTGATTCCCTTTAAGCCACTGTCGAGGATTTGGGGCAGAGATTAGTCCCCAATGCTCAAACGTGTTCAAGTTTATTTGATGCCATTTTATTTATTTATCTTGCCTGGCGTGCAACTGTGCCCTGACTGGGAAACATTCCACATGTAAGGTCACTCTGATTTGTCAAACCGAGCAGTCAGGCAGCACAAAAAATCCCAACTGCATACCCTGAGACAAATTAGTGAACTCAAACAGGCACTTTTCTCCATATGTCACTGATGGCTCAGTCAGGGCAGAAGAATGAAAGCACAAAGGTTTTCCGCTGGGATCAAACGTGCTTTCGCTTCATCAGTAGTTACCACCGAGCTGTACAGGGGATAGCAGCTGAACGTGTTAGAGGCTTTAATATTTATTTGTTTTTCTAGTACATTAATGAAGGTCAGACTTTCAGCCTGAGTTAAATAATCAGTGATGTAAATGATCAATGCTGGCAGGACCTCACTGCTGGATGTTGCCAGGCAGAGATAATAGACCCACTTGAACATGCACAGCCACACCAAATCAATTACATTTTGGGGATTTTATTGAGTGATTTTGGAGCATCCCTGTAAGCCCTTTGACGATTAATCCTTTTTCTAATGATTCTTAATTTTTACATTTGTCTACGAAATTACGAATCATAGAAAT